GTAGAAGAATCGATGCTTTTGAGTTATGGTGTTGGAGGTGAATATTGAAACTGCCATGGGCTACCAAAAGAACCAATAGATCCGTTATGGAAGAAGTGCAGCCAGAGTGCTCTTTGGAGGCCAACATGGCCATACTTCGGACATATTGTCAGGAGGGATCAGTCACTGGAAAAGGATATCATGTTTGGTAAGGTAGAGGGTTAGAGAAAAAGAGGAAGACCCCCAATGAGATGGATTGGCCAAGTGGCAGCATCGATGGACTCAAGCATGGAACAGTAGTGAGGTTGGCCCAGGATCATGCAATGTTTTGTTCTGCTGTGCATAAGGTTGCTATGGGTCAGTACCGACTGAATGGCACCTAACAACAACATAACTCAGGTGCCTAGAACAAGACCTTATGTGTAGTCATAACTTAAATATAATTTGAATGAATTAATAAATGAAAAAGTGACAGAATCAATTAATATATTTAACTAGTACAAAATATGTTTAATAGTCAATTCCGGGCTTGCACTTCATTTAACTAGAAGAGTACATTGTTAATGAGTGGTAAGGAAAAAATAAAGAGTATTTAAGGCCAGAAAGAATTCATTCCTCATATCTATTCCTTAAACTGGAATCCTGGTGTGGTGCTATAGGATAAGCACTAGACAAAAGAGTTGATTTGAACTGCAAGGATGACAGTTCAAACTCACCAGCCGCTCCTCAGAAACCCTATATAGAGTCGTGAGTTGGATCCGTCTCGACAGCACTTAAGAACACAAACAACATACCTTAAACTCATTTTTAAAAGAGATGTAAGATGATGACTTATGAAAATAATTTTTCTTATCTAGCGCATGTGTTAATGCTTAGTGGAATGTTAGAAATTCTTCTATTTTACACTGTATTTTTCTTTTTCTTTTTTTTTCTTTTTGTGTGACTATAACAAATAGAAGGGACCCACAATGTTCATTTGAGTGGCTGATTGTGTACCACTTTCTCTCAGAGTATGTAATTTGTAGACACCCCTTCCCCACAATCTTGCCCAGGCACACTGTCTGCAGACCATTTAAGTCTGGAAATTTGTAATGTCAGCTTAGTAATTAACACATGGTTTTCAGAAGTTAACACAGCTGTGTCTCTCTAGGTGTACTCAAGTTAACTTCTTATTTGCTTTAAAGAAAGTACCCAAGGGCATTGTTTTCATCAATTCTTGAAGAAGAGCCAGATGTTTAACTAAAGCGAGAAAAATTACCTGAAGCTAGTCAGCTAGTGCAACCCAGCGCAAAATTGATTTGTCTGATGTCTTATCATTCATTGTGAGACAGGTAGATCTATTTAGTATATGTGTATTGATAGCAAATAGCTACTGTAGAATATGTTGCCGGTGTTTATTCAAGGAAGCTGGAAAACCCCAAAGTGGAATGAATATCTATTAGACTCACCTTCCTTTTATGACTCATTTACAAATTCTCTAGAATCCTGAATAACATGAAAGGTACACCAGCAAATTCAAATATAGCAAGACTCACAAGAAAGTCTATTCATAAGTACAGGAACCAGCATATTTAATTGTCTTTATTCCTTTGTTTCACTCTACTTAAGAGTGACGCAATTGTTGTTATGCCATGGAGTCAGTTCTGACTCATAGCAACCCTGAATAGAATTTCCCAGGAACAGCTAGTGGATTTGTGGTTAGTCGTCCAGTGCTTATCCTACAGCCCCACACCAGGACTCCTACTATAATTAACACACCTAAAATATTTTTTTAAAAAACAAAAATAAAAAACCCTACAACTGTGAGTATTATGACAGTTCCTAGACCTGTTAGTGGTGTGGCACTGTGGGTTAATGCGCTGGACTGCAAAATTGTTTGAACCTCAAGTTCGGTGGTTCAAGCTCACCAGTTGCTCCTCAGAAACCCCATACAGGGTCACTTTGGGTTGGAACTGACTCAACAGCATTTAGCAACAAAAAGACCTATGAATGGTGCTATAGGATAAACACTTTTGAACCACATGGTGGCAGTTCAAACCCACCAGCCACTCCTGGAAACTGACTAAATGGCACTTAACAACAATAAAAAGACCTATGTAGGTTAACAATACATTCTAATAAAACATAAACTTTTAAACACCCTTTGTTGGTCCTCTAAATTCTTCATGGAAAAGGGGGGAAATGATCTTGTTTCCCTTACAATTTCCTCAAAACTATTGTTAATGTCAGGCTAGACAGCACCATAGAATTTAACACAGTCTATTAGGAAATTGTAATTCTGCTCATAGAAAACCAATATCATAAATTTGCTTTTCTTTTCCTACCTTTATGGCCATATTGTGTTACTGCAAAATGTAAAAGATTATGTTACTAGTAGTTCACCCAGTGGACTACATCAAGGCTACTAAAGAAATACTTGCTAAAGAAAATAATTCTTATTAGACCTTTGAACATGTAACTTTTCTATTTGTACAGAAAAGTCATTTAATAATGGTTTTTAAGGTCATACAGTGATGTAGTATTTTCTGTCACAATTTCTGGAAACCATTTTATTGAATTCATTATGTATGAATGAGGGCCTTTAGAATACTGGCAATGTATTTTGCATTATCTGATAAGGAATAGCATATGTGGGAGCATTATGAGCTAAGGTGTTAGGATGACAGTCTTCTTGGTGAATCTAAGTGTCTCTTATTTCCTTCACCTTCTCAGCCTATGGTGAAATCACCAAGTTGTCAAAATGCAGGGAACTCTCTGTGCCCTGAGCTGAGTTAATGGATGTTGTCTTGTTGTTGTCAGGTGCCATTGTCCATGTGACAGAGTAGAACTGCCCCTTAGAATTTTCTAGACTGTAATCTTTATGGGAGCAGCTTAACAGATAGATCTTTTGCCCTCAGAGTTGCTGGGTGGGTCCAAATCACTGACTTTTCAGTTTACAGTTGAGTGTTGTGCCACCAGCAACTTTAATGGATGTTGTAATGGAGAATACATATGATTGTGGTTGTATGAAAGAATGGGATAATGATAGAGGACAGGGCAGAGCGAATCAAACAGTGACTTTGCATATTTTTACCTTTCTGTTAACTTCCCTGTCTTCTAATGGTTGAATGGAATGATTAAATGGCAGAGGATGATACAAAATGTTTCCTGAGACCAGCAACATCCCAAACCTACTGATTCCGAACCTCTAGGGATAGGGATCCAGACTAGGCATGCTTACTAACTTCCCAGGTGATTTTTGTACTCACTACAGTTTGAGGATCACTGATAAAGCATACATGTGTTTAAAGCAGAGAATCTGGAGAAAGGCTGTAGATGTGTTTCCTTTTAATGATTATTTGATGAGTGATGATGGACCAACATCAAAGCCTTCCTATATAACAATGGGGTTTGAGTAACTTAAGCATTCATATGGAGAAAAGGCAGAAATTCTGACAAAAGAATATGGTGGTCGTGATGGTGGTTATGTGCCATGGAGTCAGTTCCGACTCATAGCGACCCTGCATAGAGTTTCCAAGGTTGCAAATCTTTATGGGAGCAGAAAGCTTAATCTTTCTCTCATTGATGAGCTGCAAGTTTCATATTGCTGACCTTGAGGTTAGAAGCCCGACTCCTAACCCCTACGCTACCAGAGCTCCTTGATAAAAGAGTATATATGCTAGAAAATCGGAAAGATGAATGCTATTCAGTCCTTTGAATCAGTCTGAAAATGAAGTCATTCTACCTTGCTGATGCATTTGAGTCAGTGATTGTAACAATTACAGAAGAATGCATGTGATGTGGTAAATCTTAGAAAAACAGTGCATTTATCTTACACCATAGGCTTTACAGGATGCCTTGAAGATTGAGTGTTCTTCATTTTCTGGAGACTATTTGGGGAAGTTGGAAATGAAATGCAGCCATGAGGAGATGAGGACACACATGGAAGTTCTCAAGCATCAGGTGAGAAATTGGAAGTGGTATGATTAAATGGAAAAGATAGCACCCATTGTTTATGCGTCTTTGGATTTTTTTTTAGTGTCCTGTTGTTCAATATGTGTCAAAGGTTACTACATTTATTTCAGTTGAATTACCTCATTTTAAAGGTTAATAAAAAATAGAGATTAGCAAGTCCAATTCCCACATTATACAAAAGAGACAACTGAGACTCACAACCTGCCCAATATCACATACTTAAAAGGCTATTAACATTTTGTTGAGATTTTATCAGCATTAGGTCTAGAAATTTTTATATAGATGAAATTTATTTTGAAAATACTATTAACTCAAACTCTTGTTGTTTAGTACCATGGAATCAGTTCTGACACATAGCAGCCCTCTATAATGTTTCCAAGGAGCACTTGTTGGAGTTGAACTCCTGCCCTTATGATTCACAGTCCAGTGCTTATCCTACAGTACCACATCAGGAATCCAGCCTTTTTATAAATTGTTGTTATTGTTAAGTGCCTTCAAGTTGGTTCCAACTCTTAGTGACCCTGTATAGGGTTTCTGAGGAGTGACTGGTGATCTGATTCACCGATCTTGTGGTTCAAACTGACCTTGAGGTGGAGTGCTTATCCTACAGTGCCCAGCTGTACTCCTATTTATAAATAGGATAAATAATTGAGAGCCTGTGATGGCAAAGTTGTTGTTTTTTTTATTCTGTTAACCCTATCTGAATAATGCAAGGAGTCCTGGTATCACAGTGGTTAAGTACTCAGCTGCTAACTAAAAGGTCAGCAGTTGAAATCCATCAGCCAGACTTCAGGAGAAAGTCTACTTCTGTAACGATTTACTTCATTGGAAACCATCTCAGGTTGTTCTACCCTAATACATAGGGTTACTGTGAGACAAAATCAACTCAATGGTGATGGGTAAAAACAAAAAACAAAAACAAAAAAACAAAGCTGAATAATCTTGTCATTACATTCACATTAATTATATAGCTTAAAAATAAACTTATGAGGAAAATCAGCAATATTTAGAATTTTCAAGCTTGGCCAAATTCTCAACCCTGAAGCAATGTTGGTGCTAGCCAGGATTTCTGGGTTAAAAAACACCACTTCTTTGGTGCTCTCACATACTGTACCCCACATGCGAGAGAGCCACTCTACATGTGGAAGCTACAGTAATGGTTGAGCTCATATTTGATACAGACAGTGACAGGCAGCCTTTTTTCTTTTTAATAATGCTATGAGGACATACCAGCATCTAACACCTTAATTTTACCTGCCTCTATTGTTAATTTTCTAATTACACATTTTAACTGTCACATTTCTACATACACTCCCACAAGTAACCACACACACATCAAGAGAAACAATAATGGATTTAAATTCACAAAGAAACTAAGCCTAGAATCTTGGCCTCCACCTTCCTAAAGTAGTGACACAGTCATCAGTATTGTGTGTGATAAAGAGTGTTCAGTTCTGGTGGAAAGGATTTCTCCCATTTAAAAAGTCTCAGGAAATTGTTTACAGAGCATTAGTTAAAATGTGTTTGGAGATAAACCTCAGATGTTCATCAAAATGTCAGGTTGACTAGGTGTACATTCTTTCGTTCTGCTGTGCATGGGGTCGCTATGAGTCAGTTCCAACTCGATGGCACCTGACAACAACAACAACAACAACTTTCCTTGTGATGTTTCTTGTAAATAAAGTTTTAAAAATAAAATATGGATGTTGTTGCTGCTGCTGTTGTTAAGTGCCATTGAGTTGGTACCTACTCATAGCAACCTTGTATAGGGTTTCTGAGGAGCAATGGGTGAATTTGAACTGTCACCCTTGCAGTCCAAACCTACCTGTGGTTCAACACTTATCCTATAGCACCACACCAAAACATGGATATTTGCATTTAAATCTAAATAAAAATGTTTAATTACTTTTGCAATTTGTCCTATTATTGATTTTTAAAATGTTTTTATTGTGAATTGAGTGAAGGTAAATAGACAAGATCATAAGCTTTACTTTCAACCAATTATACATTTTGTTTCATCTCAGTGATTATACTCCTCTCCCTGAAACAACAGTTTCCTACTTCTACCCCTTGGCTTCTTATTTACAACTTATTTTTCACATATGAGCAAAGTAAAATTATTTGATGCACGCACACAAAACAAAAAGTATATATTCATTTGAATGTCCGAAGGGCATATTTTGCAAGCCAGCCTCCCTGCCTGCAGGCACACAGTCTTCCTCAGCCAGTGGGCCTAGAGTCCTCAGCTTTACTCTCTCTCTGTGCCATCATCCCTGCCACCGTCTTTACTGTTGCCACTTTTCTGGGTAGGACCTCACATTTCCTTCCTGGGGTCCTCTGCTCCTGAAATGAAAGATTAACTACTCCCCATCTTGTACAATTATAGTTGTGATAATTGCAATTAATCCTGCCAAAAATTACTCACAACTGAATCATAAAATCTTATCATGATCACCCCCAGCTCCTTTCACCAGATCCATTTGGAAAAGAGGAAAACTATTCAATGGGGAGTCTGCCTTACCCCCCTGATTCTAAAACTAAGTAGACTCATGATAACTTGTATGTCAGTCACTTCGTTACCTTATAACCCCCCATTTTTGACAGCTAATGAGCTCTGGTAGCGTAGTGGTTACGAATCGGGCTGTGAACCTTAAGGCCGGCAGTTCGAAACTACCAGCTGCTCCGCGGGAGAAAGATGAGGCGTTCTGCTCCTGTAAAGATTTACAGCCTCGGAAACCCTGTACAGGGTCGCTATGGGTCGGAACCGACTCGATGGCACTTAACAACAACAACAACAATGTCTAAATTGTCCATCCCTATCAGTCCAGGGCACTGAGGAAACAAGCTTGAGCCTTGATATGAATAATACTTCCATTTCAGTTGGAATTTTGAGCAACTGTATCCCTAAGCAAAGGTCCATTTCATAAAATTGTAGCAATTTACACTTGCTAATAGCATTAAAAATCTTTATCTTCTTCTGGTCAAGTTCTGGGCAGATAGCAATCTAAGCTAGGTCATATGGGTACTGTCTGCAAGTTTGGGAGTTCATGCACATCTCCCCACACTTCATACCAGCTGGTTGCTTCACTCTCGAATAGGTCAGTGTCCATGGTCTTGGGAATTCACACGACTCCCTGAACTTCAGAACAGCCAGTCTTTACTCTTCTCTCTCATCTCAAGGTCAATGAGCGTCAATGGAATATGGCCAACTTCAGCCCATGTCTTCATTGCTGTATTTCCCCCACTTCAACTCACAAGTAGACCAGGGTGGTCACCAGCAAGCATACTAGACTGCTTGTGGATTCCTTTTGAGTTTCAGTGTTAGAATGAGCTTTTCCCTGATGGGCTGACTTTTATTGCCTTGATGGCTGCAAGGCAAATAGCTTGCTTGATATTCTAACAATCAGTCTGCTTCTTTTCTGCTGGTCTTTCTTTCAAAAAGTATCTTCTCATCTTCTAGCCATTCTGGGTTGGTCTGGATGTCTTTTCAAGTGGGAATTTTCCATTTCACCTCAGAAGGTTCTAGGTGGTGCTCAGGATTCCACCTAAGGCCCCCTACTCTATAAAGGCTTAACAAGAAGCCTATTTCCCTGGGCAAATTCTATTTCCTTTTTTAGCTAATCCCATCAGCTATGGACTGAAGATGGGATTACAAGCTTTCTGTAATCATAAATAATTTCTATCACACTTAAATGTCTATTTTATAATAATAGGCAGGGGAAACCAATATCCACAAAACAGTCACCTGGCCCCGAAACATTTTCTCCTCCTTTACTATTCAGACTATGGCTTTATCTCTATATCACAAAGCACTGTTATTCTAAGGTTGTATATAAATAACTCTTTACTTCTGTCCCATTTAGCCCATGTATAACTTTCTAAGTCTTCCCATCTTCATTGTTGATCAGCCACCCTCCCTTTTGTATAATCCCCTCCCTGTCACTCAAGCTATTATATATCTACTCCCTATCTGTGAATTATTCTCCCCTCCCTCTTACACCAAAGAGCTCTGGTAGTGTAGTGGTTATGAATCAGGCTGCTAATCTCACAGTCAGCAGTTTGAAACTACCAGCTGTTCTGTGGGAGAAAGATGAGGGTTTCTGCTCCCATAACGATTTACAACCTCGGAAATCTATACAGGGTGTCTATGAGTCAGAACCAACTCCACAGTACATAACCACCACCACTACCCTCTTACCCTGGTAACCATCAAAAGAATTTTTCTTTTAGTATGCAAGTCTTTCCTTAAGCTTTTACAATAGTGGTCTCATGTAATATTTGTCATTTTTTGATTGACTGATTTCCCTCAGCATAATGTCTTCAAGTTCATCCATGTTATGAGATGTTTTGCAGTTTTTATTGATATTCTTCAAGGTTACATAGTATTCCATTGTGTATATGTACCAAAGTTTGTTTACATATTCTTCCGCTGATGGCACCTTAGGCTGTCTCCATGTTTTTGCTATTGTGAATAGTGCTGCGGTGAACATTGGTTTGCATATGTCTATTCGTGTTCAGACTTGTATTTCTTTTGGTTATATACCAAGTAGAAGAATTGCTGGATCATAAGGTATTTTATTTACAACTTTCTGAGGAAGTGTCATACTGTTTTCTAGAGTGGTTAAACCATTTTACAGTCCCACTAGCAATGTAAGAGGTTCCCAGTCTTGCCATACCCTTACCAGCATTTGCTATTTTCTGTTTTATGAACTTCACTGTTAATGCTGGTATGAGATGATATCCCATTGTTGTTTTGACTAGCATCTCTTTAATGGAGTCCTGGAGTTCTGTTGTGGCATTGTGGTTTAATACCCTGGACTTCAAAGTTGGTTTGAACCACAAGGTCCGCTGTGCAAGCTCAACAGCTGCTCCTCGGAAACCCTATACTATGAGTCGAAACCGACTCGATGGCACTTAACAACAACAACAAATATGGCTAATGATCATGAACATTTCTTCATGTGTGTTGGCTGCCTGGATGTCGTCCTTAGTATAGTATCCGTTCATGTCCTATGCCCATTTTTTAATTGGGTTATTTGCCTTTTTTCTTGTTGTTGTTGTTGTTAAGTGATGTTGAGTTGGTTCCGACCCATAGCGACCCTGTACAAGGTTTCCGAGGGTGTAAATCTTTACGGGAGTAGAAAGCCTCATCTTTTTCCAGCGGAGCAGCTGGTAGTTTCGAACCACTGACCTTAAGGTTCGCAGCCCAATTCGTTACCACTACAATTAATCCATTTCCTGATATGTCATTGCATAAAAAATTTCCCAGTCCGTGGGCTCCCGTTTTACTCTTTTGGTAAAATCTTTTGATGCACATATGTCTCTAATTTTTAGTATGTCCCAGTCATCTATTTTGTTTTCTATTATTTGTGTCTTTTGTAATGCTTGATAGTCTATATGTGCCATGTATTAGAGCATGCCTATGTTTGTCCATATTTTTTTATTAATTATCTTTATAGTTCTGGGATATACATTTAGGTCGCTAATCCGTGTTAAATTAGTTTTACATATGGTGTGAGATATGATCTTGTTTCATTCTTTTGCAAATTGATTTCCAGTTTTGTTAGCAATTATTTAAAGTTGATAAATGTTAAGTTTTGTTACAAGATTAAGGGTTATCTTTGTTTCTTAGTGTTGCTATGACAGAAATGCTTCATGTGGGTGGCATTAATGAGCGGAAATTATTGTTTTTACAGTTTAGGAGGCTAGACATCCAAATCCAGGTTAAGATGCTTCTCTAAGAGAAGCATTCTCTATTTTCCTTGGGAGGAAGTCCTTTTCTCTTTTCAGCTCCTTGTCCTCAGTTCCTTGGTGGTCTTCAGCAGTCCTACTATCTATCTCCCTACATCTATGATTTCTTGCTTCTGTGTCTACTCTACGCTTTTGTCTCGGAAATGATAGGCTTAAGACACGGTGTAGTGATATGGCCTCATTAACATAATAAAGAAAACTCTGCTCCCAAATGGGATTCTATCCACAGGTATAGAGGTTAGTATTCCAGTATATATTTTAGGTGGATACAATTCAATCCATAACATGAAAGTGAAGTATGCTTTATTGTTAATAAGCAAAAATCTATTTCTGGGTTTCAATATAAGTAGTTTTTAAAATCAGGGTCTTAGAGGAGTTCACTTGTTTAATAGCAAACTTCTTCTTGAAATTTAATTTGTTTTCATAGCTTTTTTTTCACATGTTATTCCTCTAACCATCAGTTGCCATTATGCCAATTAAAAACACAATTAAATTTGGTTTTCATTTTAGTTTGGTCTCTTTTCAGGAATATTTAAAGTATCTCTAATGAAGCATTACTCTAAAATATAGTTGTTTCCTTCTTTCAAAAAAAAAAAAAAATATATATATATATATAATAAACTCCCACAATTTCTTATAAAGGACAACCCTGGTGTATACCTGTTAACCATGCTTTGTTATTTTTTCCCACATACATCAGCCTTTCATTTCTATTTTGTGCTCAACTCATAATTCATATTTGGAAACTCTAGCATGTCAATATTCAATGGTTTCATTTAAGTGCTATTGTCAGTAAACTGTGTTTTAGAACTTCAAGCAGTATTCATACATCAAAGCCTTGTGTTGTGGATGGATGACTTACTCCAAAACAGTGACACTGAACACTAGGCAGGGGGTTCATCACAATAATGAGCTGTGCAGCAGAATAATGGGTAGGAAGAATTGTTTTTTCAAAACATGAACTTTATTACTTGTGAGTTTCTGACAGAGGCTCAAAGAGGAAAAGGTTGAGAATTAGCACTCTAAACAAAGTGAATGATAAAAATCAAAGTTATATGTATCAGGATGGAATCCCAATTTAAATCAATATTTATGAAAAGAGGGTAAAATGCTTCAGATTGGACCTAGATCCCATCTCTTCTTAAATCATTTACAATGGCCAAAGAGAAAAAGAAAGTAACAGTAACCACAAGTTGGTATTTCCTAGGTACAAATATATGAGGAAGACTTCAAAAAGGAGCGATCGGATCGAGAAAGACTCAACCAAGAGAAAGAGGAACTACAGCAAATTAATCAAACATCTCAATCCCAGTTGAACAGGCTGAATTCTCAGGTACAAATCAAAACCAAATAATCTTTGCCAACCCATGTGTCTTTTATTTTTATTTTATCATTTAAAAAATCCAAGACTTTTTGGGCTTCCTTTAATTGATACTGTATTTTCTGAGAAATCAGCACCTGGGATGAAATCATTCTCAAACAATGTTGTAAGAAGATGAAAATGACTGGAGGTTTCTTTTAACTTAAGTATGGTAAGGAGTTACCCAAGAAATTAGACTCCAAGGCCTTTTACAAACTCTAGTTCTTTTGATTTTTTTTTCCCCCTCATAATATTTATCTTGGCAGAATGGAATTTAAACTACATAGTACTCAAATTCAACCTCTAAACACTCCAGTACAATGAAGTGGTTTCTAAATTCTTGTCATTTTATTTGAAGGGCTATATTGGAATGTTCCTGTCTTCCAAAAAACATACATTTCTAAATGCTATGCATATGTCTACTGAAATCAAAAATTTCATTCAGTGAGATCACTATAACTGGAGTATACTGAAAGAAACTAGATGATGCTAACCAGTTTATTGGAATAGAAGATATTAATGCAAACTCACCCAAATTAAGTAAAATAGAGTATATATAAAAAGTAGACTTGGGAGGTTGCCAAAATAAATAAATATACAGTGCAGGAAAATGAAGCTAACGCAATTTTGGGTTAAGAAAATAAAATGAACCACAAAGTTTTGGGTTTGAAATATGATGCAATGCTTTTCAGTAAATAGGATATGTTTGTGGGACATGCTTTGACTGATCTGTAGCTTCAAGATTCTTAGTCTTAGAAGAAAATGTAAACTACTAGTCATCCTATTATTCCTATTAGAAAGTAGACTGCAAATCAAATTTAACTTCTTCTCTGACATTTTTTCAAAGATCAATTTGAAATTCCTAATTTAACATGGAGAAACTCCTTAGCAGTGGTAAAATATAATAAGATCACTTTCTGAAAATGATTCATGTAAACTATTCTTTATAACAGTGAATAAGGAAATGTTCTGATTGTATCTTTGGTGAGAGAATGACTCTCTCAACTTTCATTTCTTACATGCAAAGCCACCTTATTTCTTAAAAAAAAAAAAATTGTCACTGTACAAATGACTTTATTTCTTGCCGAATTTTATGTGTTCTAGTATATTAAGTCCATATTGGAAATAAATTGGTGTCCAAGATTAGCAATACCCTTGCCATTATAGAAGGTTTAGCTCAACCAAGAACACATATTCATCTATTTAAGTTATAAAGCTGTAACCCATGTATAATTTTTACTCTTGTGTCCTCTTTAAGTTTTGACTGATGTCAACAAAAGAAACATATTGCATAAGTACCAAGTGCCCCACAACAACAACAACAAATATCCAAACCCATTACAATCAAGTTGATGTCAACTTGTAGCAACCCTTTTGGATAAAGTAGAACTAAAATATTTATTTTATGTCTAAAATAATTGTATTGTTTGAAAATCATATTATCTCTTGTCCAAACAGTCTTCAAAGGGAATTTTTAGATCAAATTATTCTGACAATAGTTGGTTACATGCCAGAGATTATTCATTTTATCAGACAAAAGCGAAGTATGAGGAAGGAGACAAAGATTCTGAGGGATAGAACCTGGAATAGCATTATATAGCAAGGGACCTTTGACCATACCTTGAACCCTGGTGGTACTGTGAGTTAAGCATTGAGCTGCTAACAGATAAAGGCAAACAATCAAGTCCCTTCAAGACAAACTCCCCCTCCAAGACTGAAACTCAAAGGGAACACATGAGCAGGCATGTAAGCTTGCTGG